ACTTCTCATTGTATTTTCCCCCATTCACAAGAGAGGCTATCTCTATTTCCCTTAATTACTTTCATGAAGTTCCTATATCACTTAACCCACTGCTTTTAAAATATGAAAAATCTATATCCATAAGAAGAACCACTCTAATCATCCTTAGTAGTTGCCTCAACCTTTTTATTATATCCTTACATATCATCTGATAGTCATGCCTCCTCACCTCCAAAAATAGATCTTCCTATGCTCCTTTGTCTGCCAAATTCATACCATATTTCCTTTACCTCCAGAGTGATGGATATAGCCATCCTTATTGGCCTCTACAACTTTCCTACACCATATCATCCACCACCTCGTTATATGAGCTTCACCTCTAAAGTCAGACTAATCATACAATTTTCTTTATAATTACCTTATTTTTCAGCTTCATCTCATTTTCATAAGATACTATCACCTCTATTTCCATAACGAGAATCATATCAATCACCCATAGTATTAACTCTAATTCTCCATCTCATATTAGCTTAAGTGACCTTCTTTGGATTCAATCAGAAAGTTCATCTTTAATCTTAAGCTTGCTGGTGAATTTTTTGAGACTATTTTGGATGCAAAGCATGTGCTGATAAAACTTGCAAATAATTTGGATTACTGTAGAGTTTTTACGCATCGTTCTTATTTTGTCTATAATTGCTTCATGAAGTTGGTTAAGTGGTCTCCTTATTTGGATTTATCAGTTGAATCTCCTATTATACATATTTGGGCCTCCTTTCATAATTTGTGACCCCACCTATTATCCCCTCAGATTTTAAATGGTTTGGGTTCAATTTTTGGTCGACCTCTGTGCATTGATAATGCAACTGCTGTGGGCTCTTGCCCCTTAGTTACACTAGTTTTAGTTAAATTGTATGTCTCAAAATGATATCCTGATTGTGTTTGGATCGGTCCGGATAAGTTGGGTATGTTTAATATATCATTATGGAAGATTTGCCTTTTTTGTGATCATTGTAAAGCTTTGGGTCATGATAAAAAAGAAATGTCATATTTTCAATCCTCAAGTTGGCATGTCAAAATGCGTATCTGTTGAACCTCATCAAGTTAGCTTTGATGGGAACATTGTTGGTGGTTTGGAAACCATAGATAATTTAGCTAATAATCATGGTATTGTTGAAAATGGAGATTTTGTTGATCACATTGATAAGGAAGATGACCCGTCTAATACTTTCCTGATATTGATTTGCCTCTACTTGAGTCGGTTACTCCATTGAGATTATTAGTCCTGATATTGTTGGTATTGTTGCTGGTAATGAGCTGTTGAATGTGGATTATAAAGAACTGTGTGATATTAATATGAGGGTGGTGGACATTGATTCTAATGAGTTGAATCATTCTATTGTTTCTCCTAAGATGCCTGCTAATCTGGTTGTGTTGGTCTCCTCTTTGGGACTGAGCATGAATGAACATCTTGTTGATGTTCTAGTTGCTTTACTCTATACTAACGCCTTGTATGCTCATGTGGGCGTGAGTTCGAGGGAAAATATTTTGGAGCAAATTGATTGGCTTGATCTTCTCCTTCTGAGAATGGTGAAAATGAAGTTTTTGAACAGGATGACTTAGTCGATCCGAATGAAAGTCATAGTCATACTTTTGTTCAGATAGGCAAACGAAGAAAGAGGAAATTCAAAAAATAACTCTTTTTTTGGGTTGGCTTGGTGGCTGCTGCTTTGGAGCTGTGGGGTTGCTGTTGGTGGTGCCAGTTTTTGGATCTTTGGGCTATAACTTTAGATGATATTGTAGCTTTGGTTGTAGACGTTTGACTAATGGGCAATTGGTGACTTCATATGGCTCATTTTTTGTTTGCTTGTGCTTAGGTTGGTCTTCTTTTTGTACTGTCTTGATTTTTGTTTTTAGGTGAATTCCGAGGTTTTTAGGTTTTTATCTTTCATATGATGTATTTTAGCGAGTTTTGGAGTCATTCTTGACTTTTTTTTTTCTCTTCATTAACGCGTATGCTTCTTCCGTGAAGTTTTATCAAAAAAAAAAAATTGTGAACTCACACATTTCTATGGTATAAATTATAGAGACAAGGCTGACCCACAAGAAGCCCGCCCAATTAGCCTGCAACTTCCACGTATAAACCCCTTGAGCTTATCCAAACCAAGAAAAGTCAAAGCTGCTCTTATCTCAATTTGCTGGGAAAGAACACCTTAAAACGAATGTATTGACTCACTATTAATATAATATTAAAAAGCATTAAGAATTATTAACTCTTTCTTAATTTTGACCAAGCGGTCAAATTATACTGTGAATTTTCTTAAATTTTATTGAAAAATATATTATGAGAATTATACATGATTAATTAGGAGTTAATAGTAGGGCTTTAATGACACAAGATAAATTTTGCAGTGTAACTAATTGATTTTCAGAGAAATCATCGATATTTTGTAATAAAAGATTTTAATTTTGAAATAATAATTGATAAATAGCTTAGGATATCAACTATCTTTTATTTTAAAATATATTACTTAAATAATTTAATAACTACTTATTTTTCTTGTTAAACTATTTTTGATTATTTTTATTTTTTGCATGATAAGCATTTTTTTTTCAGCTTTAAGCTAACAACCTCTAATATCATAAGGATTTTTTTAAATTGAGTCTAAGATATTTAATCATTTTTAACGTCTTAGTATTGTACGAAAATCCGGCACGCAATCAGATAAGAGAGATGGTCTAGCATTTATAAGACACCAAGTTTTTTATGTGGAAAACCCCTGAAAAGGGGGGAAAACCACGGGCCTAGTCCAATTTGAATGAATCTACTAGTAATACCGTTGATTACAAATGAGGCCCTTCTTGGGAGAAGGCCTTAGCTTGATGTACATTTTATAAAGTATATTACATGATGTGAATACAAAGAATCACTGTTGACGTCTTCGTTTGGTCGGGAGGACCATAGTCTGGTGACGGAGGTCAAAAAGACTATAGTATTCGGACAACGTAAGTCATGATGACCTAGTTGACGGGAGAAAGAGGTCGTAAAGACTGTAGTCGGTTGGCGACGTAAGTCAAAAGGACTGTAGTCGACGGGCGACGTAAGTCAGGCGGACCGTAGTCGGCTGGCGACGGAGGTCGGAAGGACTGTTGTTTGACGATGAATGTCAGAAGGACGACGTCAGGTAGAAGTCCAACAATGGACATAAATCCAACATCGGGTAGATGTCCAACAATAGTCTGATATCCAATAGAAGTCCGGCGTTAGGTAGAAACTTAGCGAAGAGCGGAGGTCTGACGTCGGGTAGCATTCCGCCGTCAGTTGGTGGCCGAGGAGAACTCCGACATTAGATGGTATTTAGGAAGAACTCCTACGTTACTTGGAGTTCAGGTGAAACCCCGGCGTCACTTGGAGAGGTCGGGCTGAATTCCGGCTTCGTTCGGACAGAATTCCGGCGGCGGTGGTCGAGGAGGAGTTCTTCCCTCCTAATCTTCTTCTTTTCTTCTCCTCCTTCTTGCTTCCATCTTGCTTCGCCCCCCTCAATGAAGAATGAGGGGTCTATTTATAGATTTCTGGAGTGGCATGGCCCGTAAATAGGTACGAGATCATGGGCGGATTGGGAGTGGTTTGAATGGACGGCCGATATTGAATCCCTTGATCATGGACCGTTCATCAGACATTTGAAGGTCTTAATGATGTCAGAATTTGGAAATCTTGGGCTTGTTGGATTTTTCTCGTCGAGCTGTTCGATTCGACTATAAGCTTGTTAAAATCGGAGACCGTTTGGTAACTCAAATCGTGGTTCGAACCTTCCAACAGCGCTTTAGGTCCTTGATTTGGACTCATTTGGGCTCAGATTGAGTCAAATTTGGTGTCGTTGGGTTCGTATTTCCAAGACGCTTAGTTTGATTATAAGTTTGCTGAAATCAGAGTTCAGATGCTCCCTGATTTAATTTTTGAAGTTTCTGGCTTGATTTTGCCTCGAGATTCGTGCCCGAGCAGGATAATTTTATGATGACATATCAATAGTAAACAATTATTTTAGAAAACAATAAAAAAATTATCCCAAACAAATCTTAGTAATTGGTTGAAAATTCAGTCCCTACAAAATCTTAATCGGTCTAATCTTGGTCAAACCGCATGGTCAATATTTGATAACGTCCAAAGCTCCATTAAATGTTTGATTACTTCAATTTTGTGTTCACTTCTCTCTCTTTGTGTTCACTTCTCTTTTCTGTTTGTGTGTTAAACTTACGTGCAACGCTAGGACGCAAATTTACAAACTCTACCGCCGCGTATTTTCTAACACGCAACAATTTTAAAATTAATTGATTAGTTATATATGAGAATAATCTCAAAATATATTCAATAAATTCAAAATTTATTATGATCAAATTTTGATGAGAATATTCTAATTCAAAATTTTCATTAAAATTAAAAAAATTATATCAAAAATATTATTAAATTTAAGTCAAATAAATCTTAAAATCATTAAATTTATTTTTAGATTAGTTTTATACCTTAAAATTTTATATTACACTAAATTTGAACAATAAAAAAATTAAGTAATTTTAAAATTTTGGAAAATTGGAGATTTAAAAAAAAGGAGATATTATATATGATTATTATTAAACACTAATGCATAAATTACTAATAAACATTAATAAATTAGATATTTCTAATTAGTTCCTCCTAATAAATCTTATAACAAATATATGCTTCCAAAAGAATTTTCTACACCCAATGTTTTTTTTTTCTTTTGAGGATGTATAAAAAATATTTATTTAATACTAATTTAAATGGTGTGTGCAAATTAATTAAAAACATTATTTATAGATATTTCTTAAAAAATATATATTTTCACAATATTTCCATCAAACCAGACATTGGCTAATAGCTAGAAATCCTCAAATAGCTCTACTGACACATTCTTTTTGCCAATGTAACGGCATCTCCAATCGAATCGAACACCATTTGCCTATTGCTTGTTTTCAGTTGCCGCAAGTCTCCACCCGAGCTCCAAGCAGAAACGCCTTTTGTGTTTTCTCTTTTGGCGTCGCACTGTTCAAAACTCGAAAACGGCGTTCGATTTGCCGTTCAGTTGGACAGTCGCGGCTACTGCATGCAAACCGGAGAATACCGTTCGGTTGGAGATGGCCTAAGAACATACTAATCATGTTTATATTCAATAGAGACTAATCAAAATGATAAACTATACCATTTATACACTTGATTATCATGATCGGTTTACATCTCACTGCAACTAAGCTGGTTGAGAGGATGGTGATTATGGGTGCCTTCATAGCTTGTGATCACATAGCTCGGATCTTCTTCCATTCTTTCTATCCTCTTCTTTACATTACAGCCTTCGATCGAGCATCGATAGTAATTCCTGTTCATCAAGCTCTTTACTTTCAAATGCATTCACTTGCATGGCATATTATTTTCTTCTTGAATATATATATTTAGTGTATTTGTCTATAAAACTCCTTTTATATATATACACAAAGGATAAATTATTACGTGCGGAATCCGGATAAGAGAAATGTTCGGATTTTGTGAGTGTGCGCAGTAAAAGCGCAGTTACTGTTCACCATATATTGCGCTTTTACTGTGCACACTCACAAAAGCCGGACGTAGCTTCGGACCGGACTCCGCACGTAGGTAATAATCTCTCCAAATCTTAAAGCAAATCTAACGGTTTCATACCTATCCTACATAGTAATTTTATATATAAATTGGAACCACGAACATCCAATGTAAAGAAACTGAAAGGTAATATTGTATGCATATTTTTACCTTGGATTTGAGCTGCTCTTCACCATTTTCTTTCCATACTTCCTCCACTTATAGCCATCATCCAAAACATCACGATCTGATTTTGTTTTAAAGGAAACTCTGGTGCTTTTAAGCCTGTTATTGTTCTTCTGCACACAGCTTCTGCACATACACAACACCATAATTCAGTATAAAACTCATCGATCAGCAACAAATTAGCTGATTTTAAATGCTCAGAGATATATTTCTTCACTTACAGATTCCCACCATCGTTCACTTGAAAGAGAGAATTTTGCTGGTACTGAGAAACCACCTGCTGATCTTCGCTGAACTCAGCTTCATCAGAGATGAAAAAATCACCAAACTCAAAGTATATGTCATCGAAATCTCCAGGCTCTGAAAAGTTTGGCGAAAGGAAAGAAGAGTTGGAAGCCATTAATGGAAGCTTGAAGCTGAGCTGCTGAAAATAAGACAAGTTTAAATAGAAAGTTTTATGAATGAGAAGCCTCCGCGCTTTCCTGGAGAGTACTGATATGAGACTTGGAAGACTTTTTGAAGCAGTGTAGAGACCTGTCTTCTTCCAGTTTAATGATGTGATTATTAGTATTATTATTATTATCGTCGTCGTCATTAAACTGTCAAGAAGTCAATAGAAAGTCCATGGAAATGGCCGAGTCTCCTCGATCCTGTGGGTTCTACAAAAAGGAAGAAGCTATGAAAGTTGGGTTTGTTTGCATGGGATTTTTCTGTTTTTTTTTTTGGGGCTTCAAAATTAAATCTTTTTTTTCCTAGATCTTGTTTTTTTTTAAATGATTTGTCATTACTGTCATTAACCAAACTGGATTGTGTACACAGTTCAGTTGAGTAAAATTAATGATTATTTAATAAAAGTGTGTTAAAGGCTATTATTTTAAGGGTATTGTTTGAGCTGTGATTGTTGGTAAAAAATTATTGATGGGTTGATTGATTGATTAGAATAAAAATTATTGTTGTGGGCTAAAGTATTTGTGGCGATAAAATACTAAACTTCAAGTCTTAGCGTTGCATGAGTATTCAGTACACAAATAAAGAAAAATGAAACACTATAATTTTTTACGTGAAAAATCCTAAAGGAAAACACCACGTGGTCACGCCTAGTTGAAATGATTACACTAATGTTTGAATATATTACAAATGACTAATTTGTCTTGGAAATTGAGGACGATCAGATTACAATAGTCAACTGTCGGATTGAAATATAGTGACGAACGGAGATAGAAAAGAAATCCGGCAAGGTTCACTGGTTGGACAAAAATCTGGCGTCAGTCGTTGGCCGGGCAGACATCCGACGATAGTTCAACAATGATTGGTGGTTGAGCGGTGGTTGAAGACGAGCAAAGTTATAATATCTCACTCAACCATATCAATCATTTGTATCAGCCACCTGCTCTAAAATCTTGCTTAAACATGACGAGCAAAGTTATACATGGGCAACTTCACTATTGCATTTAGACCATTGATTATAATAACACTTGATAAGGAGAGACATAAATGAGGATAATTGTTGTGATCGATGTATTTGTTGTCAAATAGATTTTAAACTTGAGTTCCAAAAGCTTAAGCTTTTAAATGAAAATCAATCATTTGGTATTTTTACATGATTTTACCAATATTTTATGCAACCCAACTAATTTGATCAACTTTGATTTAGTCCCAAAGAATGGGTACCTAAATTGATGGTTTAGCAGAGAACTAATATTATAGCTATTCAATTAGGCATTTGTGTGATTGACGTTTCGTTTGGGACAGTTTTTTTATTATTTTTCTAAAATAACTTTTTAGTACAAAAATTTATTAAACTATAAATTTTTGTATTAAAAAACTGCTTTAAAAACAGATAAAAAGTCAGACTACCGGTGCATAAATCACGAAGATAAGAAAAAAAATTTCATTTCAGAGATAATATTAATGATTGATAGGCAGAGAGATCGATTATCACAACAATGAGAATTCAAATAGTATATAACTACATAATTAGCCCAAAAATATAAATTTAGGCTTCGTTTGAGACAACTTCTTTATTGATTCTTAAAACAGTTTTGTAGTATACAAATTTTAAATTTTAAACTAAAAAACTCTTTTAAAAAGCAATAAAAAAATCGTCTCAAATGAAGCCATAGACTAAACATTTTGAATTGGAAAAAAAATTTAAAGATTAGCATAGAACACAATTATGATTCCATTGAAATGAGAATGAGTCAATAGCATCTTGATCAACATGAAATAAATCAACAAAAGAAGAATTGAATATTTCTTTGGTATCATAATTAAACACCTGTCGTTATATATACTATAAGTTTTTTTTTTTAATATTATTTATGTACGACTGAAATTATTTCAAAGACTTGACGTTTCAGTCTTCTATTTATAATAATCCAATTGAGAGTCTTTATAGAGTCAAGCACAGTGCAAGCTAAGTTACCCACAACACTAAGCTATAAGCTGGACCAGGTCAGAAAGGCAGAATGAAAAGCCGAGTAGATATTTTTTAGTTTAATTTATTTTAAATGAAAAAGTAATTATAATATTTTGACTTAGGGATTCTTTGGTTTGCTTTAAAAAAAATAGTGTAAAAAGAGTATAATGCATATAAAGTAAAATGAATGTAATGCAAAGTTATATGATGATGGTTGCAGGTGATTAGGGGCTGCAATAGCTATGGCGACGACCAACAATAGCTTAGGTGGTAGTCGGTGGAGGTGCTGGAGATGACAGTGACTGGCGGTGGGGGTTGGAGGATGTTGGCGTCGATGGTGACAGTGGTCAGCGGAGGTGGGTGGCGTAGTTAGCTTGTGGTGAAAATGGAATTTAATAAAAAATGCACGAGTTTACGGCACATCAAAAATAAACTAATGAATGAAAAATAAATTCACTTAAATTTTACATTGCATTCTTTTTTCAGAAATTTAAAGACCCAAAATTTAATTTTATTGCATTTGGAATACATTTTATTTTATTTTTTTGTGGAGCAAATCAAATGGCCCTTTAGTTTTAATTACAATGAAATTAGAATATTCATTCAGATTAATTCAATTATATGTATATGAAGAAAAATTATATGATTTTCATTTGTAAGATCATTTTTAAAATAATGAAAAAAAGTATTATAAAATAAATATATATAATTAGTACAATAAATGTTATAAAAAAATTGATTTGTGTAAAATTTTTTTCTGATCATTTTCTTTAAAATTGGGTGCGGATGTTCCCTTGTCTTAGAGTATCTCCAACCGAACTGTAAACATTCATTTGCAGCTACTATCGATCTCATCCACCCGAACGATAAAAAGAAACATATTTTTGCGGCTGGGAATACTGTGAAAGAATGTACATTAAATATTCTTTTTTGGTGTTAGAAATAGAGTTTAATTGGTGATGAATTACTGTTTGATATGACTATTACTCTATTTTGAAGTTAAAAATGAGGAGTTTGATTGGCGATACCTTAAGAGTAGGCACACTTAAAAATGTGAGGATAATGGGGAGAATTAAAATATATTTATAGCTTTCAAGAAGGATAATCTAGTCTTATTTTAAATTATCCTGCAATCTTCCTCGTTCATATTTACAATAGATGCATCATATTTGGCAATGTCGCTCTTAAGTTAGTTGACAACTAATGACAGTGGTCTAACGATGGTAGATATCAGTGATGAAATCTCCAATCGATCAACAAAAGATGTCATCAAGAAGCTATTGATGCCGAAAGACAAGTGAAAACACATTTTTGCTTTTTATCTTGGTTGTGAACAGTGTGATGCTAATATTGACGTCACACATTTTTTTCCATAGACAAATGTAGATTAGAAATGTAAATGAGAAAGATTATACGTAAAATATTATTTTTTGATATTAGAAATGGATTTCAGTTGGAAATGAATTACTGTTTGATATGACTGTTATTGTATTTTGAAGTATAAAATAAGCTATTAGGTTGGAGATCGATGCCCTTAGGTAAGATAATAGCCTTATTAGCACAAACAAACAAAATAAGTGAAAAATTAAAATTATTATTATTATTAAATAATTTTCTCTACAAACAGCCAAATCAAGTTTTTAGGTTTTGTTTGTGACATATTTCTTATTGTATTATAGCAATTTTTTAGTACAAATATTTTTTTTAAAAGCAGCAAATAAATATAAGAACTAAAAACCGTCCCAAATGAAGCCTTAGTCAACTTTGCTCCTGGCTATAGAGAAGTTGCATAGCATAATGCAGCCACTTATTGGATTATAGTTTGCATCATATTTAAAGTTCTCTCATTCATTCATAACTATATGGATTTATTTCTCTCTCTCTGAGAGATTTATATAAATATAATAAAACTTTTATGTACATATTTACAAAATGCAACACCTAAATATTTATATTTGCTCATATAATATTTAAATCTTTAAATATCATAATTTTCTTATTAATTTATTTAAATAAAATACATCTTTTGTATATTTTTATATAATTTTTATAATTTATTTAAATAAAGTAAAATACAAAAATTATATTCGTTATATAAATAAATTTATTAACTTATTATTGAAAAAATAGTAGAATTAAGATTATATGAATAAAAACTATTTAAGATAATTTTAAAAACATAAAATATTTGATAGAAATGACTGAAAAATGAAAATTTATAAAACTTCAGTTAAATTTCTAATATACTTACGGTGATGTTTTCATTATTGGATAAAGATTTTGAGCTTACCATCGTTGGCCCATAGGCTCTCACACTACGGCCTGATGCAACAACTTTATGGGCTCATTGGTTACTTACAGTTTTTTTTTTAATGGAAAATTTTGTCAGCAATGCTCGATTAATTACTAAGAAAGAAGAATATAGAAAAGATCATAGATCAAAATCAAAATCAAAATAAAATAAAATAAAATAAATTGCTCAAACAAACAAAACATAGAACACAAAAAATACACTCAAAATTGAATCCAAATAAAATGTCAAAAATATTCCTCATAGGCTTACAAGTTACAAAGATAAAAAAAGCGACAAAAAATATTCATCGTATATCAATTTAATACTTAAAAAAGCGCCAAGTGATATAAGTGGTGACATCTCGAGTGCAATAGAGAACTATGATAAAATAGAACATGCACAAAATATCCCACAAGATAATAAGCCTGAAGTGATCAGCAACAAGATCGAGCATATAAAAATTAATATCTTGCTGCATTATGGCGCTATGGCCTACAACGACGTGATGCTCTGTTCTCTGTCTCCAACCTGAGACTGTAGCATCGTAACGCTCAAATATACAGTGTCGCGTTGGTGTACACTAATGATGTATATTAATCGAAAAATCAGATTCCACAAATTCTAACCATGACTTTGTTCTTAAAGACGTTATGAAAAGCATGTTGACGTCAAAGATATGTTAGGCTTGATGAAATTAGAGGAATTATACACATATTTTACTTCAAAGTTTCATATTGATTATGTGATTTGAATAC